AAATGTCTGTCGCTAAGTTATGTTGCATTAAAATTTGAAAGACAGAATAATTTTTAAATTTTTAAATTAGCGCATGAAATGTCAAAACAAAGGCATATTTAAAATGAAAGTAATTTACGCAGTGCTCATTAGATAACTCGTCCTTCTCTGCATTTCTGTTCCTCAGACCAATATCCGAGATGAATTAAGATTTTGGCTTAACTTTCTCGTATAGCCTTCTTAGTAAGGCAATTTATTAGAGAACTCCATTTGACAGAATTAAATTATCTTAACTGGAAGTTACCGTTAGTTTCGTGTGTAGTCAGCATAACTCAAATAGTAAGAAGCAGGTCCTTAGTCAACTATCACCTCGCCTAATTATAATGCCATCGAGAGTTGTTAAAAAATTCCGAATATGGTACCGCAGTTCTGATTCATAAGAATCGCTTCAAACTTATGCATTTTTACCTTACAATTGTCTTACTCCCTATTCTTATACTTAACTCAAAAGTAAGAATAAAAACAAAATCTCGGCCATATAAATAAATATGAATATTAAATTAGAAATAATATATAGTGAACAGGTTTTGAAACTATTCCTAGATATTCTATATAAAATAGAATCACTTTAGGTCGTCATTAGTCACACCATAAATGAGTTTGGAGAGGTCTGATGTGTCTTATCATAGCATAGACTAAAGCTTGGCACATTTACATTAGAAGGTAAAATAGTCTTGGGTACTCCAACTCCTAAAATAAAGGGCAGTTCTCTTCTGGTAAGGTAGATCTATGAACAATTTATAAAACAACTTTACATGAAATAAGAGTCGTAAAAAAATAATTTAGCAAGACAAAAATGGCATCTATCTGTTTCTTTTCTATAAAACAACAAACTTTTACCTAGGCAATATCCCTTAACTTAAATTAAAATGGCAAATAGTTGTAGCTAATTACAAAAGGTAGTTTAATGATAAATCAAATAATAAAATTAATAATACATCTCTGGCTCAGAAATTTACATTCGTATGAGAGTAGGGTTTCGAGACTACCAGTAAATCAGTATAATGAGATGTATTCATCCTATTTCGTCTAAGGTGATGAAAGACTGGTAGTAGAATTTTCCCACAATGATATAAGTTGAGCTGACGTTTCCATTG